ATTTTGCTTAAGAATATTTTATCTTAGGTAAACACAGTATATTCAGAAAAGTTAACAGTAGAGAGAGGCAACTTATATTTACAGTCCTTGTTTCAGTTGTTCCAAAAGGATACTTCATTGCATTTACCTTTCATTTCTCTTTACTCCACTTCAATCTGAAACTACACTTCTGCCTTTCTGTTTCATGGCATGGACACTTTTCTTAAGAATACACATTAGCAGGCCAGGGATTTAGCTCAGTGGTGTAAGCGCCTGCCTGGCAAGCCCAAGGTTGTAGGTTTGATCCCTGGTACCAAAAAAAAAAAAGAAATATACATTAGCCAAGCACCTGCCTGTAATGCCAGCACTCTGGGAGGCTGAGGCAAGAAGATTGGAAGTTTCAGTCAAACCTAAACAATTTGTGAGTGCCTATATCAAAAACTTTTTTAAAATTTTATATGCCTTGAGATGTAGCTTAGTGCAAAGATCCTGAATTCAATTCCTAAGTTTGCCAAAAAAGAAAAATATATAGCAGATGTTTATTAGAATATTTCTTTGCTTTGTCTGATGATATCTTCTCATCGTTCCATTCTGGACATAAAGTTCTGCGTAGAGTGGAATGGAATGGGATGGGGTCCTAGGATCTATGGTGCATGGTGTTGATATCTGGACCTCTCTTCAATGGTGTGAAATTTGGTCACCCAATCAAGGTGCTGCCTACTTTCTTTAGTGTCTAGTTTACTTTTTCTTCCTGGCAGTTAGCACTCTGGAAGATCATTTACATAGCTTGCTTCTTAATCAAACTTCTGTAAATTTAGCATCCATTCATGAGTTTTGTGTAAATCAGTCCTTACTAAGACAATTGCAAGTTTTGTTGTCTAATCCCACCACTCCCCACATTTGTTGGCTTTTTCCCATTTACTTTTCTTTTCACTTATTTGTCTTTTTTGCTATCGAATGTAAGTGTTCCTATTTTATTCAGTAGGTTATAATTCACTATGGCATATTTACTGTGGTGCTCAAATTTCCCCAGAAATCTGGCCCATGGGAGCCGCTTCACGCTGGCTCCTGTGTGTGTTTCTACCTCTCTCCATCTCACAAGCACTTTGCTTTCTGGCAGAACAGAATGTCCCATATTCCTCTTGTATCTCTCCTGCCTTACTGCTAGCATCACCATTTCTTCCCAATGCCTCAGTTTCTTCCAGGTTTGAGTGCCGGAATGGAATGGGAGTCTTAGCTTCTAATTGTTTCCACAAAAAAGCTAAGATATGTATGTGTGCTGGAATTCACATGCGTGTGTAGTTTGAGACTTGCAAGTTAGTACTTGTGGTCCAGCTCCAACCCATCCTCCTTTTCCTATGCCATTTGTCTCTCCTTCCCCAGTGAAGTGTTTGACTTTAAAAATGTCAACACGTTACTCATTAAGTCCGTACATGCATTAAGTTGACTCACAATTACTATACCCATATCCTTGAAAAACAAACTTTCTAAAAGGAGCACGGCGTTTATTGGCCTTTTTCCCCCTTGCCAGTATTACATAGTCACAAGCTGTCTTCCAGATCGGCAGCACAGAAACAAAGAATGGCATCCCAGACACACTGGATTGTTCCTCAGCCTCTGTTCTCAAAGGGATTATTTTTTTTTAAAAAAAATACAGTTGGATTCACATTTCCATCTGCAGTTTTTAAATTCTTAGAACATTAACGTACATCCTGCCAGTCACAGCTCTGTAACAAGGTGTATACGTAGGCCTCACCTTCTCCAGTGTGCTTTCTACCTGCTTCTTAGCAGATTGCCTCCTGTAAGTAACCAGTTTTACTGTTGTCTGGTTTCCTGTGTTTTACAAAAATAAGAAAATATGTATACTAATTTCCCCTTTTATTCACACAAAAGCGGTATGATATATAAGCATGCATTTATTTATTTATTTCGTTTTGCTTTTTTTCATTTGCTATGTCCTGTAAGTCATTTCATATCAATTCATTGGACTACTTATCTTTTTTTTCCTTCTTTTGCTTGGTACCATTCCATGCGTGTGCCATAGTTTATGGGCACTTAGATCAATTCTAGTGATTTTGCAAATACAAATAATATAACGACTCAGTGATTTGTACATTTTATACTGCCGGCAGATTGTCTTCCTAGGCCTAGGATTGCTGGGTGGAGGGACGTCTATGTAGCTGACAGGCTCGTCACTGCCAAGGTCCCCACCAGGTTTCTCACCAGCACGGGGCAGGCATTCCTGTTACCCAGCAGCCTCACCTGCTAAGCACCCAGGGTCAGGCTTTTGAACTTTTATGAAAATATAGATGAAAAATAGTGTCACGTAATAATTTTTAACTTGCATTTTTCTTAGTATGAGAAAAGTTGGACATCTTTTTATAGGTTTAAAAGCCATTGTGCATCTTTAGTGAATCAGATTTACAAATTTTGTGCCAATTTTTTCTGTAGCTTTTTTTTTCCTTTAGTCCTCATTTTTAAAGTTACTTACCATTAAGGACATTACCTGTTTATCTATTATATATTTTGAAAATATTTTCTGTCAGTGTGTCATCTGATTTAGACTTTGTTGTTTCTTGTCATTCGAAAAACTTGGGGTCAACATAAACACAAGTAAGCTTTTGTTACCAGATATAAATATTTGTGGTAAAGATATGGAAATTTAAATAGTATGGAAAAATAGGTCACCAAATAAATGGCCTTAAAATATATACAAGTAACAAAGTAAATATTTAAATGTGTATGTTGTATGAATTTGGTACACATTAGTATTTCTTGAAATCAGTGAGAAAAGGAAAAGTTAAGACGTTTGATGCAGTTAACTTTTTTTTAAATTTTATTTAAGGAGAAAAAAAAACAAAAAGGGTACAAGTTATACAGAATTTCAGAAAAAATAAACAGTAGGAAATCACTAGTTAATAGATTACATATTGTCATCTTAGAAATAGTTGTTCAGGTTACAAAATTAAAGCATATAAAGTGGATATTGAAACAGTAAGACTGCAAACAGTGCTGTTCAATGATCCAACAAAACTCAGTAATACGGTTATCTATCTTATACACTTAAATATACATGCAGTTACATCTTTTAGAGCACTTTCTTTTCCTCTCTTTTGTACAATGACAATTACACATTTAGGTTTTTATTACTCCCACAGTTCTTACTTTTTTTGAAGAGAGTAAAGCCAAATGTGACATAACAGACCTGAGTCAGTCAAATCAAAAGGATGGACATAATACATAATGTAAAAACTAAATACAAGGTGATCAACAATGGTTACCATAATGCCTCTTGCTGATACAGTTAACTTTAAAAATAAAATTTAGAGGGGACTGGGGCTCAGCAGCATAAGCGCCTGCTTTGCAAGCGCACAATCGTGAGTTTGATCCCTGGTACCAATTAAAAAAAAAATAAAATTAGATCCCTCCATTAATTCATCAAAGAAAATTCATTAAGCTTAATATTGAATAGTTAATACACGAAACCATCAAAGAAAAAAAAAGAAATGTTAATCATGTCAGCATTTCTCAACCTCAGCACTAATGACATTTGGGACTGGATGGTTATCTGCTCTGGAAGCTGTTCTGTGTGTGACGCACTATCCTGGCCTCTCTCCAGGAAACACAAGCTGCAGCTCTCCCCGGCAGGGCCATCTCCAGACCCTGCCAACTGTCTCTGAGGTAAAATCACCCCTGGCTCAGAACGCTGCTCTGGACCATCTCTACTAGAAGCATAGCACCTAAGAATTAAATCACAGTGGAAAATTCTCAAAGTATTGACTCCATTTAATAAAAGAACATGAGAAAACTGAAATTGAAATTCAGGCAACAGTGAATGCTTTTCCCTTATAAATGGCATTTCCCTTATATAAAAAGTAGCCAATAAGAAGAGACTAAAGCACTAGGGATTTAGCTCAGCGGCACTTGCCTGGCAAGTGCAAGGTCCTGAGTTCAATCCCCAGTACCAAAAAAAAAAAAAAAAAAAAAAAAAAGAGATTTAAATAATCAGATAAATGCTAAAAAATCAGTAGGGTACATGAACAATCAAACATATTTAGACTAAAATGTGAATAAATAACTTCAGGATACAGGTTTTACTTTTCATGTTAGTAAACATGAAATTAACAGCATGGGTAAAGGAAGACAGATAATTGCATAAAGTGATAACATTGATGAAATGCAATGGATAATACATATTATACCTTTCAAAAAATACATGTGTTGGTCTAAACTATTTAGAAATTCTCTACAGGTATATCTATCCTTTCTGTATTAAAAGGAAAAACAGATCATAACAAGACAACAAAACGAATTTCTAGAAAAACATAAAATGAAAAAGACATGTAAGACCACAATATTAGGTGATCCACAGTAGTTAACTATGCCTTCTCTTGTTATTTTCAATAGAATTGTCTACATCATCAGTCATAATATAATTGAACATAGCATTACATAGCTATTTTAATAAAAACACAACTTTGGAGACATTGCAGGATTTGAAAGCAGTTAATAATCAAACCAGAATGGGTATCTTACATCTTGTCATCTTCAGAGTAGTTGCCTCTACTCTTAGACTTGATACTATCAAGCACACCAAATTCAAATAAAAACAGTCAAGGCAAAACAGCGGTCTAACAAACCAAACCTAGGAAATTTTTTGAAGGAAAAAAAATTGGTAACAATTTTCACAATGTTATTCATTAAAACATTATTTATAACTGAAAAAGAAAGGCAATGTTAATGTTCCAGTATGATTATCTAAATGATAGACTACTCTGCATGTGTAAGGGAGATAAAGGTATTTTTAGAAATCTAAATTGATGTCATCCTGGACAAAAAGTGGTTGTTATTAAACAAAATGAGTATCTAAATTTAACATCTGAAAAAAGCACAGCATTTTCCTGTCTTGATAGAAATTTCTGTACTGATTCCTGGATGACTAAAGCTTCCTAGCCTGAAATTTGACATTCCTGGGAATGCATTACAGCAAACTAACCTGAAATTGACTTTTCACCTTATAGGTTGCTTCTGGTGAATGCAATGAAGACACGGAGGTTTACAACATAACCCTGTGTACGGGGGATGAGCTCACCCTGATGGGGCAGGCAGAAATCCTGTATGCAAAGACTTTCAAGGAGAAGTCCCGGCTCAACACAATCTTCAAAAAGATCGGGAAACTCAATTCCATCAGCAAGCTGGGAAAAGGCAAGATGCCCTGCCTCATTTGCATGAATCACCGGACCAACGAAAGCATCAGCCTTCCATTCCAGTGCAAAGGCAGGTTCAGCACCCGGAGTCCCTTGGAGCTGCAGATGCAGGAGGGCGAGCACACCATCCGCAACATTGTGGAGAAAACCAGGCTTCCTGTGAACGTGACCGTGCCAAGCCCTCCGCCCAGGAACCCATACGACCTCCACTTCATCCGCGAGGGACACCGCTACAAGTTTGTGAACATCCAGACCAAGACAGTGGTGGTCTGCTGCGTGCTACGGAACAACAAGATCCTCCCGATGCACTTCCCTTTGCACTTGACTGTGCCCAAGTTCAGCCTCCCAGAACACCTGGTCAAGGGAGAGGTGTGGCCTGAAACCCTGGTCCATCACTGGCTGGGTATCTGCCAGGAGCAGTTCGACATTGACGAATATTCCCGGGCTGTCCGCGATGTGAAAACAGACTGGAATGAGGACTGCAAAAGCCCCAAGAAGGGCCGGTGCTCCGGCCACAACCACGTGCCCAACTCCCTCAGCTACGCCCGCGATGAGCTCACCCAGTCCTTCCACAGGCTTTCGGTCTGTGTGTATGGCAACAATCTCCATGGCAACAGCGAGGTGAACCTGCACGGCTGCAGGGACCTGGGGGGAGAGTGGTCTCCCTTTCCGCACGACATCCTGCCCTACCAGGACTCTGGTGACAGTGGGAGCGACTACCTTTTCCCGGAAGCTGGCGAAGAGTCGGGGGGCGTCCCCGGGAAGTCCGAACTTCCGTATGAGGAGCTGTGGCTGGAGGAAGGCAAGCCCAGCGGTCAGCCCCTCGCACGTACGCTGAGTGAGAAGAGCAGATGTGACCCACTGCGAGGCTCCGTCCGCTCCAAATGTGCAGCTTCTCCTCTTCCCCTCTCTGGGACTCCGGGAGCCACAATGAAGTCTTCAGAAATCGCCCTACCTCCACCTCCAGTGCCTCCCAAATCCGAAGCCGTAAGTTGCTTCCATGTTTAAATGCTGTCCGGCCTTTCTGTCTCTGCTTATCATCTGCTCGTCAATTTTCTTACTGATGCTGGACGTGCTGGTGCACACCTATACCCCCAGCCCTCAGGAGGCTGAGGCAGGAGGACAGTGGAGTTCAAGGCCTCCTTGGGCTACATAGTGAGTTCAAAACTAGTCTGGACTACATAGCAATACCCTGTCTCAAAAAAAATTTTTTTTCTCATAGAAAGGAAAACTTTCTGACTGGAGATTATCAGAGTGAGTAGGCTTATTTACGTTAGAGTGAAACATAGATGCTGGCCAGAGTGTTTCTCAAGTCAGAAGGGGTAGTTACATTTTCAGTTGGGTGAGAAACTCTTGGAGAATTTTTGACCGCAGACATTTATACCTGAATTTCGCTGCTGCGTAAAAAATGGTTTATAGGGAAGAGAATGGAAGCTGGGAGACCAGGGAGAGGCAGTTGTGGAGACATATGAGGGGCAGTGCCTGGACCATAGCAGCTGATAGCAGAGGGCAGCAGGAGAGATGAGCTGCTTTGGAATCTGGTTTGGAAGCAGAGTTCACTGATGAGTGGGTTGAGGAGGGGAGGAGGAGCGCAAGGAGGCCTGGACTCTCAGCCTGGGCACCAGAGGCTTCTCACGCCGTTGCCAGGAGGACATCCGGGTACATTTGTAGTCCACGTAGTAAGGGTAGGAGGAGAAGCAGAGGGAATCAGGAGGCATCACTGGTAACTCTGTCCGGTATCTCTGAAGAAGCATGGCTGAGCACTTAGGTAAATATACGCACACCCCAGAACCAGGTACTGGGGGCGTTCTAAATACTTAAACATAACACAGTCAGAGTTTGATGGGGCGCCTGTCAAAGTTCAGTGTAAAGTTGACATTACAGGGACTGGGGAACCAGATCAGTGGTAGAACAAGTGCCGGACCCTGGCTTCCACCAAAAAGGTCAGTACAAATCTCTTGTCTTCCCCACGTTCTTTGATTGGCGGCCACACTGAACCTTTCCTGCTCATTTTTGGCCGATAAATTTCATTATATCTAAAGGCAGAAAGCTCTAGAGGCGTGAGATATAATTCTGTTCGTGTATTTGGCAATATCTAGCACAGCAGCTTCCTTTTTCTATCTCTGCTAAAACCCCTTTTTAAGACTCTTACATGAGTCAAAATATATTAGAAGAGTTAACATCAAAACCTACCTGACCAGAGCACAGGTTGTGGCAGGATCGTTTCCCAGGTGCCCTGCCCACTCTCTTCCCACCAGTGGTCTCGGGACCTTCTCTGGAATGTTGGGCTGTGCAGAACCTAATTTCAAAACTGGAGTAGATGCTAGAAAGACAACCATCAATAAGACCTGGATTCGGGGCCCTAGTACTGCTCAAGGGAAAGGTTACAGGTGAAGAGATGACAGTCAAGGTTAAAAGATGATAAGCAACCTGGAGCCATGGCGCACACCTGTAATCCCAGCTACACAGTCCCTGAAGCAGGACAACTGCAAGCTTGAGGCCAGCCTGGACAACTTAGCAAGATCCTGTCTCAAAACTAAAGGCTGGCAATGAACCCTAGCCGTTGAGCTCCTACCTAGGAAGCATGGTGCACTAGGTTCAATCCCCCATACCAAAAAAAAGAAAAAAGTAATAATAGAGATACACTAGTGAACAAAGAAGCCTCCTAGAGATTCCAAATGAGTTTAGAGAATATAGGCAAATTAGAAAACCATCCCAGGTAAACCATAAACAGAAGTGCAGAGGATGGCATTACATAAGCACTGCAGAGAAAACCAGGTTCTGTTGGGTCAGCTGGGTAGAGCTGCACAGGGTGCCTGCAGGGCAGCAGTGGCTGAAAGGCCAGAGCCAGTGCGTGGACAGCTTGGAATGTTGGGCCCCTGCTCTGCTGTCCTTGAAGAGCCCTCACTGCTGCAGAGTCCTAACCACCCCTGGCTTCCTGAGACCACCATGCTGGCTTTCCTGTCCTTACAGGACCTTTCAGAGACCTTAAATACAAAAAGCAGAGATCTCTGTATTCCATAAGGTCATGGACTATTTGGGGAGTTTGTGGTGGAATCAAGGCCCTTTGTCCTTACGTTCGTGTCAAGAGACTCTGCGAAGATGTTCCCAAAAGATGAGAAAAATAGTGGACAGGCTTCCTACCACGCACTGGAGGCACCATTTGTGATACCAGAATTCGTCTCTACCTGATGTTGCTTAGAGGTTGAGGCCTTGTGTTGAATTTTGTTCCTGCCTAGCATGTTGTAGGTCTCATGGTTTTTGACTGACTGACGTATTTATCCATAGTGGTCACACTGGGGTCACTTACGTAGCCATGGCTAGAGCTGGGGAACTAGCATCATTTGTTTTTTTCTGTGGCTGCTGAAAGATGAGAAAGAACATAAATATTAAGAAGTCTGATCTTGACCTTGGTACTAAAAGAAAAACACTAGAGTTCAATTTGAAACTAAAAGCAAATCTCATAGGAAAAAAAAAAAAAAAGATTTTTGGCCTTCAGTCTAAGCTGTAATTTCTTACCATGTAAGAGAATCTTGTCAGAACATACCCAGTGTTTATAAAATGCTATAAACATGAAGATTTTTTATAAACACCTGAAATCATTTAATTTATTTTTACAGAAAAATTTAGGCATTTTAAATGAAGCCATTTCTTGTTGGTTCTATGACCATGAAATGAATTTTCCATTTTTGGGATGCATGTGGGAGCCAGAGAACATCATCATTGTTAGATGTGACTTCAGCTTATAATTTTCAAAAGGGAACTTTAATGGGGCATAAATTAAAGTGCTTCCACAGAATTGAATAAAAGTTCCGCCTTGATGTTAGAGTGGAGGGAGTGCTGGGAGAGAGAGAAGCCTGTGTCTGACAGCCGATCCACCAGGTAGTAAAAGGTGGTGTGAGCTGTCTGGGGAAGCCAACGGGACCTGAGATGGGAGGATGACCGCTCCCAGGAGGTCCTTAGGAGTCCAGGATGCTTGCACAGTGGAAGTATCAAAGAGAAGGTGCCTTTCACAGTCATGGGAGCAAAACTGGCACCAGGCGAGGGACCTGTGCCCTCACCCAGCCAGCCACATGAGGGCCCAGGTGGAGGGAGAGCAGCTGCACATTGCGGTCCGCATTGGCCTCTTCCTTTCCTTCCAATTCTTTCATGCTTCGCTTTCAGCTCTGCATCCTTAAGTTGTGACATGTTTATGTCCTCTCTGCAGCAGACTTTGATGGTCTTTGTTTCCTTCCATGAAAGTGAGAGTAAATCTTTCCCCTCCAACAGTCACACTGTTTGCTCGCATTACGCCACATGTCTGGCAGCATTGAGATGGCACTTGAGAGCACATTCCTACCCCAACTTGGGGAGCCTGGGCTGTGGGGCCAGGAGTCCTCAACAGGAGAGGGATGGAGTTAGCTCACTTTATTCATACACCTTGCATTTAATAGGCTGTTTGTAGAGACTGTTTAATACATTTTTTTAAACAAAGCACTGTCACTCACCTCTCGAGTATGAGAGCCCATTCGCTTCCTAATGAGAATGTCTCAGGAGAAAGTAAACAGTTGCTGTTTCCAGAGGTAGAAAGGACACAGCTGCTGTTGGTGATGGAGCCCAAGCTGAGGAGCATGCCCACCTCACTGACTGTGGCATTGTCACTTTAAGATTATGCAAGGGACCCTCAGACCAGGATAACCTGATAGTTCCTTTTAAGTGGATTGTCTTTATTGATCCAGGTACTTATTCTAAATACATTCTCCATTTCGTAACACTGTGGGCCTCTGTTCACCATCTCAGTATCTGAGTATTGGCTGATGTGTCTAAACTGTTTACTCAGATAACACCCTGCAACTGACAGTCTTCAAGAGCTGTCTCCCCTTTGGATAATGTGATTTTAAGGTGCAGTGATGGAAATCCTTTATAATGCATGAAATTCCATAAATGAAATGACTCCCAGACTGCTCTGGTTTATACAGTGAATTATAAATGGCCATGGAAACTATAGGCTACAACTCTTCTGAAGCTGTTTGGGCAGCAGTATCCTACCCTAAGGTACCTTCGATGGATTCCCCAAGGATCAATGTCTGCCACCTGTCTTCAGTAGTAGGAAAAATGCCTTCAGTCCTGGCTACTGGCATGGCAGTCATCCCTGAGACTGGTGAAAGGAAAACCATAAAAGGAGCTCTCAGTTGTGAGCCACTGTACTGCAGTAGTGATGAATTTGCTAACCCTTGCGTTAGACAAGGATGCCCCTGTGGCTTATGAGAAACAGAATGTAGGAACAAGCTATAGATGAATCGGTAACATGAATTCATCATGATGAGGCTGAAAGTCCATCCTAAGTAAAATTCCTTTAATGAAGCGCAGTGTTTGAGAAAAATAAGACTTGAGAGGCCGGGAATTTAGCTCAGTGGCATAAGTGCCTGCCTGGCTAAGACTTAAAGCATGAATCTGCCAGATTGCCTGGACCCAGTCCATTAGGTGCTTGGAAACACCGATTCAGCTCTAAGCTGAGGTGTCTGAGTCCACCTCAGACAGGCTGAACCGTGGTGGGGAAATGGAAGAGGACAGCAAGCCTCCTGGGAAGCTTCCTTTCCTCTCAGTGGAATTGCATCAAGAGAACAGGCCCTGCCAGATGATCTTTAGAGCCTCGTAGTAGCTTCTCAGCAAAGAGCCACACCTAGGTTAGCCCCCTCACCCGACCACTTAGTGGCTTCATTTCTTGAGCACAATATTAGCTTCCCTGAGTCAGTTCCTATGGGGCTAATGATTCTTCACGGCATTATTGTATTATACAAAGTACTTGGCACTTTTCCCTGCCACTTGGTAAGCATTCAAAATAAAGAGTAACAGTAATTTAATATAGGATGAGTTCCAACTTACAGCCAGAGAGTAAGTTTTAGAGGGTCCTCCCCAACTCTGCTTCCTTGACTAAGGAAGGGATAGAGGGAGGAAGTCATGTCACCTGTCGTCAGTCAGGAGACTTTTCAGAGATGCCACGGCAG